TCTTTCTAAGCCAACAGGTTATTAAGATATTACTTTGAATCTGGAGCCACTTTGCTCTGCATCTACAGTGAAGGCAGTTATAAGCTCTTGTACAAGCTCTGTATTCCCTCCTGTTGAAGGTTTGGTTGAGAAAAGTTTTTTTGGGATTACAAACAGTAGAGTTCCTTGGGAATATTTTTAGGAATTAGTTTCAGCATTTTTTTTAAGCCAGCTGAGATCTTTGCCTGAGAATAATACACAATTACTTTACTTCCTATAAAAATTGTTAGGGAGTGATTTCTCTAGTTGAAAATAGCGGGACTGACAATTACAGATTTTACCTGTAGTTGTAACCCTTTGTAATTCCGTGTATAGTCTTTGAAACTTTTTTGAAAAAGAGAGAATGTGGCCCATTAGTAGTTCAGGAAGTCTACACAACTGGTTTGGCACACTGGCTCCAACATGCACAATGTCATGTGAAAGGGAGCTCTGCAGGCTGCCCCCAAATCCTGACACATTGCTGTTTATGTGAACCTTCAGCGTAATGCCAATACTATTCAGTTGCAGAAAACATCAGGTCGTGTATCCTGAAGGCTGCTTGGTGTGTCCTGACATTCTCTTTCTGCCTCTGGACAAGAGCAGTCGTTGCTGAGAAGGGCCTCCCTCTGTAGAAGATGTTGATCGGAGATGTGTGTAGCAAGTGCAGGCCAGGGACATGGTGATAGTGGTCTTTGTGTTGGCCAGTCTCCTCAGAGCCCCTGGTAAATATGAAGGCTGCTTTTTTCAGGGAGTCCTGGGGTAAAATGTGTTTGTCACAATCTCTTGTGACTGAGGCATCACTGCAGAGCAGAGCTGTGCCTGCCTGTGCAAAACAGGCCATGCTTGTAGAGGGGTGAAAGTTTGTTTCAGAAACCTCAGTTGGAACAAATCAGCAGTTCCCATACAGCAATCTCTGCTTGAGCTTGTTTATTCCTTCTGGCTTTTCATTCCTTATCTTTTATATCATGAACACTTAAGACATTTGTACATACTAGAAACTGTATGCACAGCTCTTATCCCCTTTCACAGGTCACTTGCTTTCAGAAAGACAGGTTGCTATTGTACTTTTCCTTTTTAGCATATAGAAAGCTTTTCCTTTATGTGAATTTATCTTTTGTCATTGTTGCATTCCCTCCTCCAGCAGCGGTACAGTGAAGCATAGGATCCTGCCTTTCTTTAGTACTCAGTGTAATTAAGTTGAATGCTATTTGATCACTCTGGCTTCTTGACATTGCTCCATTGTAGAGAATATGTATTTTTCAGTGGGCAGCAGCTACATGTGAGTTTTATCTTGCATACCTCCTCCTGCTCACAGCCTGCCATGGCTGGCAAAGTTTTGTCTGGTGCCCAGGCGCAGCACTGTTAGTTTCAGAGAGAGGGATAGAAGGTGGTGGAAGGGAGGGAGCAACTGCCTTCTGGATTAACAGGTCAGTTTAGGGAATTCTTAGTAGGTAGCAGCCGTTGGAGTTATATGAAGAAAAAGAACTAAAAATATAGGTTGTGTATAGGATTTTAGGGGTCAAATTTCAACCTGAACAATGACTGTGAAAATTAATACATGACTGTGAGAATTAATATATGAGAGCTGACCCTTTAACCACGGTAACTGCAACAATGCAGCAAATCAGATTCAATAGATGTCTGTGGTTCTCCAGGCTCGTATGGCATGATTTTAACCTTTTCTTGTAGCTTTTAGTATCATTTTGTTGTTACTAGGACTAGTTCCAAACTAGAGAAATAACTTCTGTTTTCAACATGCAGAATAGGTTTGTTATGCAGTTAAAAACTTTTGGAAGTGGTTTTCTTATGCAGATGATGACGCTCAGCAGAGCTGCAAAAGAAGTGGGAGTTCTCTGCTCCCAATATGCCTACATGGAGCAGAAGTACAGCACTGCAAAGTGCCGTAATGATGCAGGGCAAGGCTTGTAATAACAGCCTTCGTATGATGAGGACTTGTAGCATTTCTGCCACTGATGGCAACAATGCATGATTTTATCTTTTCTCTGGGGCAGGATCAAGTCTGAGGCAGATTGCTTCTTGGCAGAGAGCGACTGGAGTCCCATGTCCCATAGATTATGGAGGTGAAAAGAAATTCTTTGATTCCTCCAGTCATCCCATGGGTGCAGTGGTACTGCAAGGTACAACCTGCTGCCTATATGCTGAAGATTAGCTTCCTATGGTATATTGATAGCTACAGACAGATGCAAGCTTTTGTCTGCTCTCCTAGCTGGTAGCATGCAAAGCAGCTGAGAGCTATGCAGACGTGGTAGCATGACACTGAGCCCTAGACTCTATTCCTCGCCTCACAGCAAAGATAATTAGCTAGGGCATTGCACTGTGCTGGTATGGTTTCAGTGCTTTCAGGCTGGAGTTGTTTGGGGTCAGACCATTTGAGACATGAGCAAAGCCATTACACACACCTGTCTGCAGGCATCTGTACCTTTGGTGATGTGCAGGCAGCATCCCCTGCAGAGGGAGGGAGTAGAGGGCGAAGGGAAGGATTGGGGAATTAGGTCATGTCTGTAGCATGTCAAAGAAACATGTTGTTTCTCAATATGTTCAGAAATAAGATGAACCACTGGAAAATATGTTCCTCTTGCTGTGATCTGTGGGTGTATACTGAAATAAAGTAAGACTGAAAACACCCTTGCAAATGTGTCTGTTTCCTACCCTGTTGGGGCTCCTGTTTCTAGTTAATTAAGATTTTTAGAGAGACTGCTTGTGCTTTACAGTTGTCTCCTTGACTTGTCCCTCAGTAGCGAGTCCCTAGCTCAGTTCTGAGGTGCCACCTTGCCCTTGCTGCCTTCCTTGGCCCTCTGCCTCTGTCACGCTGTATTCTGTGTCCTCTGGCTGATGAGCCTAGACATGGCCTGAGGCTGCTGGTTTTGTTCCATTCTTCAGCCCAGAAACCACCATCTCATCCCTGATTTCAAGCCTTTCCTGGCTGCTCATCTAGCAAGGCTTCTCTTGCAGACCTCTGCTGGGGTGCTGTCTGCTTCACATATCTTCTGGCAGGCTCCCAGTATAAAAAAGCAGATGCCATTGACTGTCTTGAGAGCACTTTCCTCATAGCCTTCATTCTTCTTTTATTCCTTTCTCTCTGCTGTATTGAGCAAAATTTTCTAAAGACCTTCATGTTCTTTGCTTGGAAATCATGAGTGTGTTGGTAGCTGGGCATATCCAGAAAAAAGACTTGAATATAGTTTAATGGATTGCCTTTGAAAACCTGGCACTCTGTTTCCATTATTGACAAGCTTGTTTGTCTCATCTCAGGATGCTGCAGAGATTGAAGCATATGCTTAGATTCATGCCACCCTCTTTAATCTGACTGAATAAGAAAGACTGCACTTGATTGTCTTGACTTCCATGGGACAGCTTGTACTTCACAAAATTAGGCATGTACATAGGCTTAGGACTTTGGCATACTTGATGCTTGTCTGTTTGGTAGCATAAACAGCTCTGGTGCTCTGATGCTTCTCTGATGGTCAGTACCAGCTAGATAAACCTTAGTGATTGACTTTGAAGCAAATTGAAAAGTTGTCTAGCAGGTGGACAAAAGGAGAAAGAATGCTCCAAGCAATTGATTGGCATGACTCAAGACTATTTTTGCTCTCTAATAAGTTGAAAAGCTGCTTTATTCGAAGGTATATGTTAATGGATAACAGGTACACTTGTGCTGAAAAATGTACAAATGCATGTAATATTGTGTATGCATGTTGCTCTCTAACTACAAATTGTAATCATAAATTTTAAAAATAAAGCTGAAATCCATGAAATAAGTGTTAGCAGCAGGAGCATTAACACATTTGGCTTGGTTTTTGGATTGTGTTGGGAGAAAGGCTTGAGTTCCTTCCCTTGGTTTTTCACTGAAAAAGGAGGAGAAAGAGGCAAGCTGTGTTTTCTTTCTCCCATTTCACAAGGACAAGAAATTTCATGGCTCAGTAAACGGGGCTTGCTGCCTCATGTTGTTCAGTGTCTCTGTGTCCTTCAATTAGGGTAATTTCTCAAGATGTTATGATCTGATATCTGTCTCTGTTCTTGAAAGTACAGAAGTGAACAAAGGTTCGGCTGTGCCCAGCGATAAGAATCTCTTATGTTGATCCACACCACATAATACATCATGGTTAATGGACAGGGACATCCTACCCACCAAATACAACTGGTGCCACGAGGTCAATAGCTTTGTTTGTTGTCAAAGTGCAAACCTGTGTTCAGGATGTTTTGTGAAGTCTGTTAGCATATTTCTAGTTTACAAGGGATGGAAAAATTTTCAGTAAATGGAAAAGTACCTGTCAATCTAAAGCCCCAGTGGGAGGCTCAGAGAAGTAATTAATTCTCAAGGGCATTCCCTAATTAGGTGGTAGGGTGATGGTGGTGGAAAAGGTGCATTTTTTATGAGAGATGGCTTTGGCTTTCCTCATTGTAACTGCAGGTGATTTATGCTAGAAAACACCATGTCCTAGTTGTTTTATTTTCTGAAGAGAAGTATGTTAGGAGGTGAATTTTAACATTCTGGCTGTGTGGAAATTAGTTGTGTTTTGTTTTCTGTAAGGTTCATGAAATGATAATTAGTAATCAAGTCAGAGACTGTCCAGTCCACTTTGATCAGTGCACTTACAAATCCAATTAAATTCCTTATTGTTATTCCATTGTACAGCCTTCAGAAGCATCCTGAAATTTTGCTGCAGAAATAAAAATAATAAATCAGATTTCTTATTCTTGCTAAGTTACCATACTAGCAAAGTCATTATTGGTTTTATTCTGTATAGCTCTAAAAAAAATGGAAAGAAATATGCATAATAAATAAATACTTCTTGCTCATCTGCTTCATACATATTTGATATTTGACTTTTCTGAAGGAGCTAATTTCTTATCTGTAGAAGAAAAGAATATAATTGATCAGTTTGAAATTTTTGGTCATGGTATTTTTAACTTTGGCCTGCTGTGATGGAAGAATTCATAATTTAGTCTATGGTACCAAAACTAATACATAAAAATTAATTTTCCATGCATATAAAATTTAAAAAGGCTTCTCTCACAATTTACTTTGCATGAGTGTCATGTAAGGCAGGAAACCTAAGCATGGAAGCAGATGAAGTCCCAAAAGTTCAACTGTATGGTGGCGACTACATACATACTAAAGTCTATGCAGGAGAAATCCTGCCTGAATTAGCCACAAAAATGTCAGCTTGTTAAACAGAAATCATACTGCAACTTAATGGTTGAGTTCTCAGGAGTCAATTTCAGGTGTTTCTGTACAGAATACTAATTTACACGACTAGCCAGTCTTGAAAGCACTCCTGGAATACTGTGTAATCCAGCCCTGGAATATTTCTGGGAAATGAAAAGTAAAAATGAAGATGTAACTTCTGAGGCATTTATACATACCTTACATTGTGTTCAAAGTGTTTTGTTTTCCCTCCCCCATTTTTCCTCCCTAAAATGTTGGGGGAATGTAAACGTGCTTTGTTCCTGCAACACAGAGCACAGGATGTTTATCTGTTATTTTTTTTTCCTCTGCCTGTTCGTAGCTGGGCCTGCAGCAGAGGCAGCAACTAGTTGCTGAATTGTTTCGGGTACAGGCTGTTCTATTACGTTTTCTTGACTAAAAACTAAGTCTTGAAGACAGAGAAGAGTTTGGTTTTGATTGAATGCTAGGTGAATCTCCTTGCTACAGACTGTAACATCCTCTGAATGAAAAAATGCCTTCTAAGCATGGGGAGAGTATCTGTACTCCCATGAGAAGGCAGCAGCTACTCTGGAACAAGGCAATCCGATACAGGGAACACAGAAGCAAAACACAATTAAGTAGAAGCTGCGTGTGAGGCCAACCTTGTGTTCACTGCCTGGATCTGTATGTACACAACATTTGTGAAGTTCATGCATTTTGCATTTCAAAACAAAACCAACCAAACAAAAAAAACCCCAAACAACAAAAAACTGCAACCTAAGAAAATTGACCTTGGTCATACTTCAATATTACTCAGTTCAGTGTGGGAAACTTTTATCCATAATTAAATTCTAGAAGATTGTACAGTATAACAAGGCTATTCTCTATTATTAGGCCATGTTTTGGCTCATTATGGAGTGTAACACTGCTCTGAGCAGCCTTTTTTCTATAAACAGTCCTCGCCTAAGACTTAGTACAGAGTTGTCACTCTGACAAAAGATACAAACTAGAGTTTTTCATAAAATATATATGCAAAGTACTGTAATACTGTTCTAAAAACACTTGCATTTCAGGAGACTGTTTTGCTGGTTTTTACTTTCTTCTTTTTGAAGGTTTTCATGAGAGGGGAAACTAAAATAGAGTGTGAGACAGGGTTCGAGAAGTAGAGATAAGATCCGGAAAAAACGTGGAAGCAGGAGGTCTGCTAGAGCTGGAGCTAAAGCAAGTATAGCTATGTACCAGCATATGAACATGCTCCTGTTACCTATGATCACTGCTGATTCTGCTCAGGAAACAGTTAAAATGTAAAGGTGAGCATGAAACAGTGCCACTTGTGGCCAAGGTGAACCTCCGGAGAAAGATGCAGGTTCCCTGAGAAGTGAGTGGTTTGGATGATTCAGTCTGTTTTACAGAAATGAGTGAATTTTAGATCCCCCTGCTTGCTCACCCATGTATGTAAATTGGCAGCTATGTAGAAAACCATATACATATGTTTTTATTTCTTTCCTTTTTTGCTAGATACTAGAAATGACATGCAGAAGGAAGGTAACTTGAAAGAACTCCTTAAAGAGCTGCCTGATGCTCATTACTGCCTGCTGAAGTACCTGTGCCAGTTCCTGATAAAAGTTGCTGAACATCATGTGGAGAACAGGATGAACCTTTGCAATCTTGCCACTGTGTTTGGACCAAACTGCTTTCAGTAAGTTGGGATTTTCACTTTTTCCCATACGTTGATGGACAGTGTAACAGAGCAGATGGACAGAAATGTAACTTGGAATACTGTTTTGATAGGGTGATCAAATGGAGGCAATAACTGGAGCTTTGTAATACATTTTAGTGCTAAAGCTATTGTTTGGGATGAATGGGAGTTGAATTGCCCTCCCATCTCCTCTTGTTTTGCTAGACAGTTGGCCCATTTTCTATTGCTGTATTGACAACAAAATGAAACAAAATGAAAGGCCTTCAGACTGCGTAAGAGCAAGAAGACCTGTGCTTGTTCAGTTTTCTTCCTTTGCCGTCATAGAGTGGTTCTCTGCGGAAGGCTTTGAGAAAGGCCAACTGGGAGAAAAGGACTCATATGCATCTCCCAGGTGCTGTATAATTTCTAGATACAGATACTGCATACTCTTTGCAGATTTGTCCTTGTGATCTGGTGTCTGTCCTCAAGATGCCAATGATTCTGGGCTCTTTATCCTTCTAGTATATTCAGCAACTGTTCTGGAGGTTATGGGGTTCCACTGACCTCTTGAGATTTCTTACTAGACTTGCTCGTTTTACTAGTTTCTTTCATTAGGCCCAGTTCCTTGATGCTTGTGGTGAAGACATGTACATGCTAGTGGACCTTGCAGCGGTCGTGATGAGAGTTGTTTCCAGGTGCAAGAAGGCATGAGTGAGCATGATTCTGTTGAGTCACTGCTGTGATGCAGTGCACTGTTAGCATCTTGATGCCAGCCTTGTCTTGTAATATACCCCCTGGCTGTCATCCAAGATCTAAGATATAGGAGACACAGAGGGACTTTAGATCAGTCTTTAGTCTTGAAAGATGTGTGGTATCAGCAAAAAGAAAAAGTGAGTTCCTTGTAGTAAATACTGGATTTGTATCAATCCTTTAAAAAATTTGCTCTGGAATAATTTTGAGTTGCCTAATGAGACTTAAATTAATTGCCTAATCAAACTATCTCTCTAGGCTTAGCTCCCTATTACTGTAGCCAGTGGAAAGAAGTAGACTTCTTTAAACAGAGAAAATAGAAATCAGGCTCCTTCTAATGTACTGATCGACTTTCATGTACCTAGGCTAGATGCTGTCTGCTCTGTTTTTTGAAGGAGCATATGTTTTTCTATTAATTGGGAGAAAACATGCAGAGATGAAATATTTAATCCAAAACTTGTCTTTGTGATTGCACTACTGCCTCATCTTAAGATGTCGCATGTGGATGAGGAAGGTGAATATATCAGGAATAAAACATTTGCTGTGTTAGTACAAAAAGAAAAAGCATATTTTGAAAAGAACTGTCTTCCTCTCTAAAAGAAAGAAAATTCAAAATATGCTAGTATTTGCAGATGAATATGAGAGTTAACAGAAGCACAGTACAGTAATTTCTGTCAAGAGCAAAACAATTTTTAAAGATCACATTTGTATGGGCAGTTTGGGAATTCCTGTTGAAATTTATTAGTAGACTTAAGAAGAAACGAAGTAAAATAGAAGAATTTAAGTCCAGTGGCAAAATCTCTGACTCAAACTCCCAAGTAAATTCTTAGTTTATTAATCGCTTTGCTCAGGGAAGTTTTTGCATACTTTTAGATGGTAGGTGTGGAATGCTGAGAGTTGCAGTTTGGAATTGCGATGAGCATTCCTAAGATTAAACAAAAGCATACTACTTAAAAGCTGCATAGTTGTTGCCTCAACTGAGCTCTGCTCCTAAGCTGGCATAGAAAACACATCACAACTTTTGTAAGGTATAGTGCTTGTGTGTAAGATGCGCAGAATCACATTGTTCCATTGCAGGAGACTGAGAGAGGCAGAGTTCACTGGAGATTAAAACACAACAGCTCCTGGAGATTGAAACACAACGGCCTTCAGTTGGGACATGCATAGAAATAAATGCTCATGTAGCAAAAGAAGTAGAGAAAGCAAGGCTTGACACTTAGCAAATGGCTAATGCATTTTTTAGAAGACCTGAACATGTCAGAATTATGGACGTGGATTTTTATTTAAACTAAGTTCCACTATCTAGTAGTTCAGATATGTGTTTCATCAGAAAACTGCTTTTCAAGGTAGTTCAGGATTGTGGTCCTCAAGATTGTAAGCACTGTTCAGATACCTTTTTTGCCCATGTTAGTGGATGCAGTCTTAAATGGCTGAAACTATAACCATCTGTATTAACGGATTTAATAGGAGGAGAGGAGAACTTGCAGGACTGAACTTTAGGCATTGAGCTTAGCCAACTGGCTGGCCAAGCAGCCAGTGAGAAATCCTCAGAACACAATTCAGAGCTCTGGAGTAAGGCTGACTGAAAGCCTTCTTGGCAAGGCTCGTCTTGTTACAGGCAGCCCCAAGAGAGACTAGCTGCAGAAATGAAATATCAGCATGTGGCTGAAGCAAACACTCTCACTTTGTGTGGTTTGTACAGAGCAGTGTATGAGGTTTTTCTCTGGGACAAGGAAAGAAGGCTTAGCATCCAGGTTGTCAGCAATTACACTTTTGAAGCAGGAAGACTTGAGATTTTTCTGTCAGAAATTTACAGTCATGTCTAAAATCAGTGTTGGAGTCTGTGTAGTTAATGCACAGTGTAAGAGAAGATAAAGCTCATCTGCTGATAGAGATGATATTTTCTACAAGGTCTTTTAAGTGACATTTTAGCTATTTAAACATATTATCTCCTGTTCCATAACTGAAGCTGTTTAACAATTTAATAAATCTCACTGTGTGGCCACTTTCCAGACATTTCAACTTCATTTTGATTCTCTTAATCTAATTCTATTTTTCTGTGTCATGTTCTCTGTAGTTGATCTCATCTCTTAATCTTTCAACCCTTATTACTGTTATCTTATCCATTACTTCCCCTGCTTCCTTATTTGCTGTTTGACAAACCGCACTGGTGCTTTTCTAATGAAAGGTTATCTTGTAGTTTCTTATTTCTAACGAATAGAAGAGTGGAGAAAATGGGTATTTGAGTTTCTTGTAATGAAATGTGATATAAATCATAGGAAAACGTAAAGGGCAAGGTCAAACAGCTCAGAAGGAAAATACGATGGCTTGAGATATAGTGCACTGTTTTCTTCTGGCTTTGATTGTTCAAATGTATTGTCATGGAAGCCAAAGGTCAAGTATGCAAAAAAATACAGCTTTTGAGGAAAAAATGAGCGTGAAGGTATGGAAGCATAAAGAGTTGTCTTTTCTGTCACTGAGCTAATCTGTGTAGAGTTGCAGCATGGTTACTCTTGGTGGAGGTTATTGTCATAAGAGCTGCTGCACTAATCCTGTCCTTTGTTTGGGATGATAAGAGACATGAGGTCTGCCAGTTATGAAGTAAGCAGAGGATCCATTTGCACCCTTTTTTTGCAGCTCTTGCTCAAAGAATGATCTCTGTATGTGGCCTCCATCATTCAAGCCCTCCCTAACCTGACTGTGTTTCATTCCAGCAGAGATTAGGCATGTTGCCAGAGGTTGCTCTTTCTCCCCAAAAGTGCTGGGCAGATGCAGGTACCCAGCTGAAATGCTGAAATTAGATGCAGTTGTTTCTGTATGATGACTGTAACAGAAGGTACCCAAAGGGTTGTACAATAAAGTATTAGGTATGGAGAAAAGGTAGATTGGCTCTAGGTATGGAGAAAATAGATCATCTGTAGGGTAGCTGTGGGTATTTCAGATATTAAAAAATATTTCAAATGTGTGGCTGAATTTGTAAGAATTAAAACCTGATCTAAAGACTCCCCAGTGACTAATATTGGCCTTTGAAACACAATGTGAATGGACCTTGTTTTCAGGCAGTGTAATGCCAATCCTACAACAGTCTTAAAAACAAATGTGAGGCCAGGATCAGGAGTACTGAGTACTGAAAATTGTTGTTCTAACATTCATTATTGCAAATTGGAGCATGCAACATAACCTTTCTTACCGGGTTTGTATAGATTTTTAAATACTGCATTTGCCAGCAGGGTGAAGGAGTTGTTTTTTGTAAGAATTCAGTATGCTACATCTATGATACAAGACAATGTTCTGCAGTGTAGAATAATCCAATTCCGTTAAATTTCAGGTCCTATGTCTCTATCATGTATCGAATGTTGAAATGACAGCAGCAAAGATTCTTCAGAGTTTGCAAAGACAAGTTGTGCTGCAGTGCGGTCCTCTTCCTGTTCACATGTAGATGTACTGCAGATAGTATAATATTGAGGAGCATCAGTAGTGTGCAACCCCTACAAGAAGGCACTTTTTGATGGCAAATTTCTTGGGGCATTTGCTTTCAGAGCTTTCTTGTTCAAATGTACATCTGGCCCCAAAAAAACTATAGTTACAGTTTTACAGTAGCTAGTTATTTGTAAATTTTAATTTGCTGGTTATCGTAAACAATGGTTTACTTTCAAGTTACATCCCTGCAAAATATCTTGGATGGCATTTATTTAACTTTTGGGGTTTGGGTTATTTTTTTCTTCTCATACAACCACCCACTGTCCTTAGCCAAAAAATACTTGAAACTTTTCTATTCAGGTGTTTGCTCCCCTTCTTCTTCCCTTTAAATCATTCCTGTGTTTTCCATACCTCCTGACCTGCAGTCTCTGCCACTTTATAAGGCCTTTTGAAAATTCACTTTGTGGATTACTGAGAGGAGAGTGCGTCTGCTGGAAATACTGTGCAATGAGAAACACTGGCTGTGATGAGAAAAACACAGAAGTATTTTGAATGCTGAAGAAGATTCTTCAGAGATCTTACTTTTACATTAAAAGATAATTTAAGTCAGTTTTGAGCACCAAAGTACAATAAAATGAGCAGAAAGCCTACATTCCAGCAGAGGATCATTTGATGCTTCAATCAGTTGTGTGCTCTGTTGTGAGTAATTTACATTTTTTACCACATGAGAGGGTTGTGTGAAACACATAAGGAAGGCAAAGGAGGTAGAAGACAGGATATAATGCTTCTTCCAGATCAGTATCTTGCCTTGTGTGTGTGTGCCTTTAAAGTCTGTTGCAGGTAATTCCTGACTGCACAGGAACTGATTCGAAGAGAACAAGAAGATGCTTCTTCTGCAGCCAAGTAGTTGTTGTTCTCTCAGAAAGTGGAGGTTTTAAACCACTTTTTATATGAATCTTTTAGGCTGTTTTAGAAAGCGATGTGAGTTATGAGCCTACCTTCAAGAGAAATGATCTCTCAAAAATTAGATTAAGAAATGTGTTGTACAGCAAAGGATCACCTGAACCTCCAAAGATCTTACTTAACTTTTAGTGTTCTGCTCAGCATGTGAGTTTTCTTCAGTTTTTGACTCATCCTTCTTGTATACCTTTGAGGTCATCACAAACCACTTTCTGGAGGAATGTAACACCTTCCCATTAACAGTTCAGAGCATTTAAATGCCTCATGCTGTCTGTATTGCGGTCATGACCCCAACTTTTAGCAAAGTTAGTTATACCTCATTTGGTGCGTCTCAACTACATCCCAACCTAGATTCTGTGGAGTAGATAGTCTGACCAACAGATGCAATACTTAATATCAGTAAGGAAAACTGCAAACAAACCGTAATAGTTGTTACCACCATTGACATAATCATCTTTTCTGAGACAGTCTCTGTGCCTGCTAGCCAATCTGTGTTCACAAGTGGAACATTACAGAGACTCTGTGCAGGAACTTTTGTGTGCTGTGTACCTATGACACTCTGCTTTGTGTTCTGTCCAATTTTAGCGTTCCCTCTGGATTTGAAGGTATAAAAGAACAGGAGATCTGCAACAAGATAATGATTAAAATGCTGGAGAATTACAGTACTTTGTTTGAATTTGAAGCTTTGAAGAAAGATGAAGAAAAGCCTGTGTGTGAAGAGCTAGCAAGAATTATTTTGGTAAAAGTGAGTATCTCTAATACTTCATTTTCTTATACCAAATCAATAATGTGGCATTGTTATAGGCTTCACTTCAGAAATCTTTTAGGTAAGTGGGAGGCAGGCACTGTTGTTTTGTGTGTTCTGTGTTATTGATTGGTATAGGGTTTACAAATTGATTCTGCTGATAATCTAATTTTCATTATTCGTCTGGAAGCAATTTTGTTAAACATGATTTGTTGTTAGCTATTCACTGTTCTTTATGTGGTAAAGATACCTGCTAAAAATTAAATGTTTTTACATGAGGAGGCAGAATAATTCCAGAACATATTCAAGCTTTCTGACATGGTGATCATTTATGGTGTCCATCAGTGATGAGGAACTTACTTTAGGACAGTATAAGGTCTCTAGCCTTTGCCACTGTGAAGTCTGCTTGTCTTGAACACCTACCTGAATTTAAAAATTGCATGTTCTGACTCAGAACAGCCATTTCCAAGCGCACTTGAAGACAAATAAATGTTATCATTTGAAGAAAATACATTGGAGCTGTTAAAGAAGAGTGATATGACTGAAGTATACTATCTTTCAGTGAAAAGGGCATGTGTGTAATATCAGAATATTCTGAAGTTCAAAAAAAAGATTGACAAGGAAAAGTAGGGTAGCCAGGAGTGCCTTGCTGTAGCTTGTGCTGTCTCTACTACAGGAGGCAACTTGAAGTCTGTGCTGGTAATGGTCATGGGGATCATTCATAATCACTTATTTCATGTGCTAGCTGTGCAGAGAATTGCTCCCTCTCGAGGTGTGAGTTCGTGGGTTTTAAAGGGTTCAACTACATTCCTTGCCTTGGTAGGGTTTTGCAGGCACCCACTGATAATATCACCATAGTCTTCAGTGGCTGGAATCGAAATATCAGAAGATAAGTTACAAAAATATAGAATAAGAAGAATAAGAAGTTTGGTGTGAGCCCAAGTCAGCTGAAAATGTGTCTGCCTACCAGTGTTGTGCAGGAGGTTTTGTTGAATCTGAACTGCAGGCCAATTGGTACAAGTTGGATCCAGCTGCCTTTAGAAGAGTTTGTTGTTTTCTTACGTGGTGGAAGCAGTGAGGAAGTCTTTAGCTGTTTAGTCTTTTAGCTGTTACTAACATTCACCTAAAATACTTCCATGCAAGGAGATAGAATAACCAGTGACTTGCAGTGTTCTATGTAATACATGTTACTGAAGTCACAGTAACTTCTAGGTAATGGAAATTATCTGCCTGGAAGACGTGAGTGATGTTTAGCAGCTGGTGGTCACTTCTGTAACAAAAATAGGTTAAGAAGAATGTAATTGTCAAAAGCCACAGTATGTTAAAGAGCCCAAAAGAAAGGCTTCAGATACATCCCCATCTCCTTCAAAGCTTCAGCCAGTTGCAAAAGTCACTTCTAAGGACTTACTAGTAATTGAGAATGCATGAAGGTGGAGATCTGAGAGATTTGCCATGGCAGTTCAGAGATCTGAGGTATCAGAGTGCATGGTGAGAACCTGAATTGCTCCAACAAAACAGCCTGAATTATATAGTTATTCAAGTTAGATGAAAAATTTTGCTCATCACTTTGCCTCAGGAGGCGACTGCCTGAGAGGAGGGAGCCATGCCTAAATACAAGGGCATTGGATCTTGTTGACAGCTTCCAAATTCTGCTGGCAGTCTGCTGCAAAAAATTGACCTTGTTCCTTCTCCATCTAATTTGGGTGGGAAGTTTTCCATCTTAACTAAGACAAGAAATATAAACATCTTCATGTAGCCAAGCTGTATAAGAAGTTCTTGATGAGATCTATTAGGCAGCTCTTTGAAAGGATGCTGGAGCAAGTCCAGAGAAGGGCAACAAAACTGGTGAAGGGTCTAGAGCACAAGCCTTTAGAGGAGTCTCTGAGGGAACTGGGGTTGTTTAGCCTGGAGAAAAGGAAGCTGAGGGGAGACCTTATCACTCTTTACAACTACCTGAAAGAAGGTTGTGGTGAGGTGGGTGTTGGTCTCTTCTCCCAAGTAACAAGCGATAGGACGAAAGGAGATGGCCTCAAGTTGCACCAGGGGAGGTTTAGATTAGATATTAGAAGAAATTTCTCTACTGAAAAGGTAATTAAACACTGGAACAGGCTGCCCAGGGAGGTGGTTGAATCATCATCCCTGGAGGTGTTTAAAAAACATATAGATGTGGTGTTTAGGAACATGGCTTAAGCACTGGACTTGTAAGTCAGGTTAATGGTTGGTAGAGTTAGGTTATGGTTGGACTTGATCTTAAAGTTTTTTTCCAACCACAATGTTTCTGTGATTCCCAAAGGTTACTTCTCTTGTATCTTAGCAGACACCCCCTATCCTAACAATTTGTGTATAAATTAGAGATGATGCACTCAAAGAGAAAACCAAGTGGTAATAAATGAGATTGAGTAGAGAAAAGTGATTGCCAGTTTGCTAATGTATGAACTGTTACCTGCAGTAGGAGCTAGCTTATCCATGTTATAAAAGAACAAATGCCTAGGAGAATTATTTGACATGACCTGGGTGACAATGTCCAGAAAATAGCAAGCTAATTCTTGAGAAGCCACTGATGATTTAATCTACACAGATAGATGGAAAGAGATTTTCCAAGTAATACTGTTGGAAGGAGTGAAGAATGTAGGTTGTTTAGGATAAAAATGTAGGATGTTTAGGATAATGCTGTCATAAACTGATGCTTTGTGGTTTTAAGAATGTTGCATTCAGGTATGAACCATGGTGGAATGGGGGAACAGACAGCAAGTTAATGGAAGAAAAATAGGATCTGCCTATGACCAAACACAGCTGCATTTATCTAAATGCTCTTTTAGCATTTACATTGTGAGCAGCAGAAGGGTGAGGAGGGGAGATGTGGTTGATGTAGCTCACTTTTTTTCTGGAGTATTTCTGTCATTCCTCCCCCTGAACCATTCACTGTATTGCCAGTGTTTCACCCTGAGTCACTACACCATGATTACCTTCATCTCATTCTTTTCCATGTTTATGTTTTTCTTCTGAATTCCCACAGCCTCATCCCGCTCTTTTTCCCGTACTCAAATCCATCATACCCAGTCACTGTCCACACATGTTGTAGCCCATCCACAATATGTATTTCTGGGCCATCCTTTCTTTTACATTCTTGAATGTTGAAGGAAGTTTTTCTCTGGGTTAGAACAGTGCTTGGGGTAATGTGAGCTGCCTTTTTTGTTTTCATGGATGTGTAGCATGGGGCTAGGGCTTTTTGAGACACTTCTTAGACAACCACTAGTGGCTCCTTTCGGCTGGAATGCTGCTGTTAGTCAGGTCAAAGGTGAAGTTCCCAAAAAAGGGGTTGGAAGTACTTTCAGGAATAAGTAGTTTTTCCATTGTGTTAAGAGACTAACCTCGTGATGGTTAAAACTATCAGTGCTGATCCAAATGTTTCTGGATTAGGGGTTTGGAAAGAGCACCTATAAGCATGAAACGCCTTATACAGGGAGAAGAATGCCACAAATTGGCAAGACTAACTTGAATCAAAACTTGAAACCCAGTAACAGTAGCTTAAAAAAGTAAGGAGAGACATCAGAAAGTACAACATCAAACAATGCACTTCTCTCAATGCTCTAGTATGCCTTTCTAGTTTACTGCATTACAAAATTAGCCCTGCATTTCCTTATCTCTTTTTCATGACTTCAGGCTCTTTGGTGCTGAAATTTCAACTGGAAAAACAGGAACCTATCTTTAGTTAGTGTCTAAAGGTATTGTGAGAATATTATTTCTCCCTGAAGTCTTTGGTTGTTCTTGATATGGCTTAGGTGCCTGTTGCTTCCCATCATCCACTCATAATCATCGTTTTTGAAGTTGACATCAGCCCTAAGTAATTAATTTTGGGCAAATACCTGAAATGGGAGTAGTGGCTCATGCCATCCCATCCCAGTATGGACTTGTACTTCCTGTCATATGCTTAGTGATGTTTAATATTTTCCTACACTTGCATGACTTCTGACACTTCGTGTTCCAGATTTCCCCACTCTTTGGTAATAAAATCAGTGGATTTTTAAAAGTGGGAAGTACTGCTCTTTTAAAATGAAAACAAAAATATATTGATTGTTCAGATAAAGTCATGAAAGCATCGAGCTTTTTTTTAGCAGTATAATGGAAAGGATGAACAGCTTGAGTGGAGCAAGTTGCATGTTGTCTACCATGTTGGTCATAGCTAGAGGAAATCCACAACCATACAGATTTCCAGAAGGATTAAGAACATTTCAGTGAGGTACAGAATGCAGCAGCTTAAAGAAAATCTGTTTTAAGGAAGTCAAAAGTTAATAAGCTTTAGAGATGGGAAAAAGATATGATTCTGTAGAGCTGTTGGTAGTTGAACTGCCGTTCTTGCTGCGTATCTGCACTGAAGAGGCACAGGAACAGCTTCGCCCCAGTTATATTTCTTCTTTCAAATATTTCTCAGTCATGGGGAAGGACAAGTTGTGCTAGTTGAACAGATTTCTTAGCTCGCTTTCTTAGTGGATCATAATTGAGAAAGTAAGGGAGCTGGAAATTTCCACAAGCTACATTTCAGTCCCTGCTTTGTTCCCAGGATCGTAAAGCCTCCTCTTGCTCATTGCTCAGGCATATGGTAGGGTTATAGCTAGAAATGGTGGGGAGGTATTCTTTAAAACCTATATGTTAAAAAAAAAAAGTTAGATTTTCAGAAAATAGAAACTGTATTTCAATGGGCAATTGAACTGTCAGGTTCCTGATGCCTTGCCTGGAAGGACTTCATTAGTTTCTCACTTCACCTAGCAGAATGAGATCCATATGATCTTCCAGGCAGGTGGCCAGCAGGTGGAAGTATAACATGTACATTCTTCATATATTTGGAAATTCCTTCCCACAAAAATAATTATGAGGTTTGATTTTTTTTTTTAATTTATTTAATTCCAAAATAAGTCAGGGTTTGTTGGGGTTTACAGGTCTCGTTTGCAGTCAGCTATTATTGCAGTCCTTAAGAATTAATTTCCTAACCCAGTGAAGGT